AAGCAGTACGTCGGCTTTCCCGCCCTCTTTCTACCTTGGATGATTCTCCCTACCGTGAACACGTGGTCTACGCACCCCCTCTTCTTGCGGAAACCTGCCTGGCCCTCACTAATGCTATGTTCCTTCTCCAATACTCCCACTATCCTATCGTTCAACAGCTTACAGAACACTTTTCCTACTGTGTTCAACAGTGTGATCCCCCTGTAGTTTCCTGGGTCAGTCTTGTCTCCTTTCTTGAACAGGTTCACAACCACTCCTTCCCTCCATCTACGTGGCGTATACTCGTTTTTCCACACCCAATTGTACAGCAGTACCATCAGCTGGATCATCCCCTTCCCCCCAAACTTCATGAAAGACGGCACCGGGGTGCGATAAAAAACCAGAGGAAAAAACATTTAAAAAAACGATTGCCCGGTCGGTGCCAACTCTCGGACACTTACTGTATCCTATTTTCGAGCCGCGAAAAAAACGTGCATACAGCTCACCGGGTTCGAACCATCAACCGGTAGTTTCGACAGGAATCGGTTTGGCTATCTGGGGAAAAATTTCATCCGGGTAAATCTTTCCTCCTCCTCCGTCCCCCCCGGCCAGTGTACTCTGGGGCTGTGTGCTGCACCGGTCGCCACGGTGGTCTAGTGGTATCCTCGTAATCCGCTAGTCGCAGAGGTCGTGAGTTCGAATTCCCGTGGGGTGAAAAAATTACGAAAATTGCTGGTGAAAGCGAAATATTGCCAAAAAGCTCTCGTGAGTACAGTTGGCGCCCGCAGTTAGGAAATATTTTGTTAAGAAATTGAGGCTCACTTTTTCACGAAAATGAGAAAATAGGGTTAAGAAACATAGCTCGATCTGGGTCACACAATAAGAAATGTCCCAAAAAGAAACACAGCGGCGACCGCTGCCCTACTACATAAGAAACGAGGGTTTAGACTGTTCATGGCAAAAAAATCTTGATCTTCCTTTCTTTCGACAAATGTTGACTTTTTCGACCTTTTGGGCAGTCTGCCTCCTGAACGAGTTCGAATCAGCTGTTCGACCTTTGAGAACAGTCAAAGCTTTGGCTGAGGTGTCTACAGATCGCCTACATGTTTCGCCAGGGTCCACGTTTGATTTTTCCAAGGTGGGCAATTTTCACGCAAGATTTTTCCGACACCAGCGTTTGGACAGATCTTGGCCCAAGATTTGCTCCGAGGTGGTCTTTCGGCCGAATCTTCAACATGTTGCTCTGCTGGAAAAAAATCAAACGTGAACCCTGGCGAAACATGCAGGATCTGTAGACATCTCAGCCAAAGCTGTGACTGTTTTCAAAGGTCAAACAGCTGATTCGAACTCGTTCGGAAGGCAGACTGCCCAAAAGGTCGNCTACATAAGAAACGAGGGTTTAGACTGTTCATGGCAAAAAAATCTTGATCTTCCTTTCTTTCGACAAATGTTGACTTTTTCGACCTTTTGGGCAGTCTGCCTCCTGAACGAGTTCGAATCAGCTGTTCGACCTTTGAGAACAGTCAAAGCTTTGGCTGAGGTGTCTACAGATCGCCTACATGTTTCGCCAGGGTCCACGTTTGATTTTTCCAAGGTGGGCAATTTTCACGCAAGATTTTTCCGACACCAGCGTTTGGACAGATCTTGGCCCAAGATTTGCTCCGAGGTGGTCTTTCGGCCGAATCTTCAACATGTTGCTCTGCTGGAAAAAAATCAAACGTGAACCCTGGCGAAACATGCAGGATCTGTAGACATCTCAGCCAAAGCTGTGACTGTTTTCAAAGGTCAAACAGCTGATTCGAACTCGTTCGGAAGGCAGACTGCCCAAAAGGTCGAAAAAGTCAACATTATTTGTCGAAAGAAAGGAAGATCAAGATTTTTTTGCCATAAACAGTGGTCTTACGGGGGAGTGTGTCGAATAAGAAACAAACCCCACAGCTCTCTCGCTCTTTACCCCTCTCCCCCGAGCCCCCACTCCCATAGTGAAGCGTGGGGTTCTCGTGAAAACTCGGGTTGGGTTGGGTCGGTAATTAGTCGCAGATCTCACCCCGCTTCAAGGCAGGAGTACGACTACCGCGTCATCCAAGGGTGCCCGGAAAAAAAAATTTCCAACACCTACCCGACAAAACTTTTTTTGAGACCTCTCCGGGGGGGGG